TTCCTTCGGCGTCCTCATCCTTCCCTTCCTTCTCCCGCCCACCTCCCCCATGCGCTTCTTCCTCCTCCTCCTCCCCCTCCTCCTCGGCTACTAAAGCGTCGCTTGCGGGATGGTTAAAAGGGCCTGCTTCCAGCTCCACTATGTGAATGACAAATTGGCCGAGTTCACGAGGGACAGCGTTTACACTTGGCTGGGGGGTGGGTGCATGTTTCTCACGCAGCGATGTCTCATAAAGACCTTCGTTTGTGGTATTGCGGTTCCTGCGGGGTTTTCGGTAAAATCCAGCTCAGAGGACTGGCGGAGCCGTGTGTCACACCACCCACGAAGGCCAGGTCCGAATATCTAGACAGGATAAGCTGGGGCCTGTGTCCTAAGAATAAATCTGAGCAGTGCGAGCAGCGGTTATCACTTCGTGATGGCGGACATCCTGAAGTCCTCTTCCTACGCCACATCCTCTTCCCCCTCCTCCGTTGCCCCATCTCTCTCCCCCTCTCTCTCGCTTCTCCCTATTCTATCTACACAGGTGTACACGCACATGACTATTTCTACATATCTGAATCACGACAATATGTACAACATGTGTGCCATCTTCGCACGCGACACCCCCACCCACTTCTGCACACCGTTCACGCGCATCGTGACACCCAGGGAACCTGATTATGATATGGCATGATGTGGCATAACATGCTACATTACGTTATGGTATGCCATGGGATGTAATGGTGTGTGATGCTGTGGTATGTAATGTGTACGTGTGTGTGTGGTATGCTATGGTATTATATCATGGTATGTTATGGTATAATATATTATGTGATGGTATGGAACGCATTGGTATGATATGGCATGGTAGGTTGGTATGCTATGGTATGGTGTAATATCGTATGTTGTGGTATGGTATCATATGCTATGACATGCGATGGCTCGATGTGGTATGGTCTGATGCGATATGGGTTGCTATGTGTATGGCCTGCTGTAGTATGTTGTGATATGACATGTTATGTCGTGCGATGCACCCCCAAGGGGATCCGCCAGGGGTATTCCACTCCTCCGGTTGCGCCAAAATGGCGGAGCTTTCTCGAGCAGTTTGCATATTTGCATGTCCAGCACCCTCCGCTTTCGGAGCAGATTTGGAGGATGTCTCGAGCGAGGCGCCCCTGGTGGCCCATATTGCGAGGCTGCCTCGAACGGTTTGCTTGTTTTGCTGGCCATTCTCGTGGGCACGGATCCTCCCAAGGATGCCGCAGGAGGCTCCAGCGGGCTCCAGGGGGAACCAGGAGGCCACAGGAAGTCCCAGGAGGCATCAGGAAGCCACAGGAAGGCTCAAGAGGCCAAAGGAGGCCCCAAGAGGCTCCAAGAGGCTCCAGGAAGCTCCCAGAGGCCTCAGAAGGCTCAAGGATGCTCTAATAGGCCACAAGCGGCCACAAGAGGCCTCAGGAGGCAATAGGAGGCCCCAGGAGGCCCCAAGAGGCTCCAGGAGGCCCCAGGAAGTACCAGGAGGCCCCAGGAGGCCACAGGAAACGCCAGGAGGCACCATGAGGCTGCTGAAGGCCCCAGGAGGCCCCAAGAGGCCTCAGGAGCAGGAGGCCTCAGAAGGCCACAGGAGTGGCTCCAATCCAATGTGTTTACGCGTGTTCCTATACATTGGGCCTCTCCTGGGCCACGAATCCTTTGTGTTTGTTTCGTATGGTTCTACAGGTTGCCCTTCTCCTGTGCATCCAATCCTACGTGTTTTGCGTATGTTCCTATAGATTGGGCCGTCCCTTGGGCACGAGTCCCTGGCCACCCTCTCCTGTGGCTCCAATCCGAAGTGTTTTACGTATGTTCCTATAGATTGGGCCTCTTCTGGGGCACGAATCCTCCCAAGGAGGCCCCAGAAGGTTCCAGGAGGCTCCTGGCAGGAGACCACAGGAAGCCCCGAGAGGCCCCGGGAGGCCCTAAGAGGCTCCACGAGGCCCCAGGAGGTTTCAGGAGGTCTCAGGAGGCCCCAGGCTTCTGCGCATTCACACTCCAACTCATCCACAGTTAGATTCACTCCCAGACAGTCAACACTCGAGTTGGCTCATATGCAAAATCTCTTGCGCCTGGACGCTCACGGCGGACAGGGCCATACCAGTAGATGCACATATCAATTGGGGAGCTCCACGCAGTGAATAATTCTGCGAGCGTCGGAACTCAGGGAGGAGGGAGGAGGGAGGAGGGAGGGGAGGAGAAGGAGGAGGAGGAGGAGGGAGGAGGAGGAGGAGGAGGAGGAGGAGGAGGAGGAGAAGAAGGAGGAGGAGGAGGAGGAGGAGGGGGAGGGGAGAAGGAGGAAGTGAGGAGGAGGAGGAGGAGGGAAGGAGGGAGGAGGGAGGAGGAAAGACGAGGAGGAGAGGAAGGAGGAGGAGGAGGAGAGGAAGGAGGAAGGAGGAGGAGGAGGAGGAGGGGAATGAGGAGGGAGGAGGGGGACGGCGGCGGCGACGACGACCGCCGATGGCGCCGTCTGCAGGGGCGCCCGCCAGCTCCGCTACGGCGAGGCGCCCGGCCTGCGGCGCGCCCCCGCCGGCGGCGGGCGCAGGGCGGCGGCAGTCCGGCGGCGCGGCCGCGGGCTCCTGGGGGCCGAGGCGCCGCGGGCGTCGTCGTCGTCGTCGTCGTCGTCGTCGTCGTCGTCGTCGTCGTCGTCCTCTCCTCCTCCTCCTCCCTCCTCCTCCTCCTCCCTCCTCCTTCTCCTCCTCCTCCTCGTCCTCCTCCTCCTCCTCCTCCTCCTCCTCCTCTTCGTCATCCTCCTCCTTCTCCTCCTCCTCCTCCTGCCCCTCCTCCTCCTCCTCTTCCTCCTCCAGCATGGTCTGGCCGAGCCTGTCTGGAGAGCTCGGCGGAGCCGTCCTGCTGCATGCAAGCCGGTGCTGCGCGGGCATGGGGCGCAGAGGGACATACGAATGCGGCGTGTGTCCCCCCTGGAGGCGCGCGTCTCCG